TATATATATATATATGACAGGGTCTACAGGGTCTCACTATGTAGACTGGACTTGCAGTGATCCACCTGTATTCAGCCTCCCAGATGCTGGGATTACAGGTGCACGTCACTACACCCAATCTCAATCTCCATCTCAGCATGCCCTGGCTGCTGCATCTGCCTAAGAAGGTGCTTTAGTCCACTGAATTAAATATTTGGCCGTCCCCTTCTCCATCTCTTCATTTTTTTCTTAGGCTAAATCAGTAGGTGCTCTTCTGACCAATTCTGGGCCAGTATGTTAACCTTTGCAATTTCTAATCCCAGGTGAATACTGCTGGGACAATTTACATCCTGCAAAAAGTGACATCACTATGTGTTGAGAAGCGCAGGGGCTAAAAGCATGAACCTGGAGGCACATTGCCTAAATTTAAATCTAAGATCTACATTATTAATAGCTACTTTCTTGAGTAAATTACCTAACCATTTTATGCCTTTTTACCTATAAAATGAGGATGATAACTTCACTTATGAAGTTGTTATGAGAATCTATTAATAGAATAAAACATAATAAAGGTTCAGTTTTTCTTAACAAAGTACATAAGATTTTATGATTTTCCTAAACTCTATTACCACTCTGTTTTGATTTTATGGATTAAAAAACTCTACAGTGCTACATATTTGAAGGTTCCTGGTCAGAATATTACTTTTTCTGGGATTCTCTTGTCCTTATTCCTCTTTTTTCATATCACTTCTTCTTTTTCTCAAAACTCATCTCATAACTCCCTCCTCCCTGCCAAACAAGAATACACAGATCTAAGTCTGATTTTTGCCCTCTCCCAGGTAGTATTAAAGATTCACTTAAGTGTTCCTACATTGCCCTGTAATATCTGTATCACAGGGCCTAGCATATTGTAACATAAAGATTATTTATGTGACTGTCCTCTGAAATAGATTATAAATTTCTAAATGAATCAGTGACCTTATCTTAGTCATCTTTATATTTCCTCCTCATACACAATGAAAAGGTAGAAGGCATGGGAAGGCTCCATATAGCCAAATTATGAGAAATAATTCAACAAACCGGGGACATACTGGGGAGAAGAGTTTTCTGGGGCTGTAGTTGGCAGGTTTGCAGAATTTAGATCATGTAGAATATTATTTAATGTGTTAAAAAGTTGGCCTTGTTTATTCCAAAGGTCATGGAAACTCTCTGAAAAATTTCAAGGAAATGAATATTAATATAATATGTCAACAAGTAGTTGATGAGGTGATGAGAGTTGGAGAATTCATGGTGTCATAGTGGAAATTTTTTTTTTTTTTTGTACTGGGGATTGAACTCAGGATCTTATGCTTGCCAGGTAGGAGATTATGTAATAGTGGAAAATTAAAAATACTACCAGCAGACTTGAGCCTTTTATAGCTCAGCATATTAATATGGCTTTACTTTTTATACCTCATTTTTATACTTTTCTGCTGGATGAGTAAGACCAAGATAAAGCAAGATCTATATAACAAGAAATGTAACTTTTGTATCTGACAAGTTCAGTCAAATCCCCCCAGGATTTACCCTGAAACCCTGTACCACAGCTTGTAGATCTTTTGTCAGTGTCAGTCATGTGGATGAGTCATGGCCATTGCTTGACCATTTTGCTCTCTGTGAAAGCCTGAAAGAATGTTTTCTCTCTAGGTGACTCTCCTTAGGTGCATTATACATTGTTGATCATTTTCCTCTGTTGCCCCATAATTTCCTTGATCAGAAAATCTGGGACACCACTGAGTTACAGGATGTTAGAGTACGGGTTCTCTTATGTTCTGAGTCTTCACTGACCTTGAATGGCTAAGACCAAAATGTTGGCTATCCTTGTAGCCCTTCTTTTTCTCTAATTTTTGGCATTCAAACTTAAGTTTTTAACCCTCCAGAAGAGAAGCTTAATGATATTATTACCCTATAATATAGGCAGTTGCCAGACCTACAGATAACCCACAACTATTGTGGACTACTGGACTATATTAGATTATTTTGCTGAATTCACACACCTGCAATATTTAAATGGCAATGGAATACCTATCTCTGCCAAAACTAAACAAAAAAGGGGGATATAAAAGAAGGACTGGTTTGTATCTGTATGTACAAAATAGTTAGGATAGATATACAGCTACTTTCTCTTAATCCAATGAGAAGAAAATTTGTACTAATAGTGTTTGGGCAGGATATCATGTGTGCATCCTGTACTGTGAATAACTACTATGAAGACAACCATATGCAATGTATTAATTATTGTAAATGTCTATGAACCTATTTTGAAACTGTCTCATTGCTATTTCTCAATAAAATTAATAAAAAAAATACTACCATCAGAGATGAAAAGGAAGGGAAAGATTTAAAAAAACAAGGTGGTGGGGCTTATGTAAAAAGAAACAATGGCTAATTGGAGAGAATATGGTGAGAGGCGTGTCAAGGACAATTCAGTTTGGGGTTGTGGGATATAAGGAGTATCTTTCAATGAGACAGGAGTAAAAAAAGGAGGATGAGTAGGAAAGTGATGAGTTTTGTTATGGGGAATTTGAGATGTCTGTGGCATATATAGGTGAATATCTAAAATGACAATAGAGAATCAGTAACTAGGGTAAAGAGAAAGACAGAGTTATCAAAATAATATATTGTAGGTCACTATGATATTATTATCATTATCATTATTATTATTTTAATGTTTTTGGTTGTTATAGGATCTCACCACACAGCTCAGATTCATAGTGATCCTCCTGTTTTCAGCCTCCAGGCATATGCCATTATGCCCGGTCTAGATGGCTGGCTCAGTCTGCCCTGGGGGCAAAGCTGGCATGGCATGTGGTGCTGGGGATCAAACCGTAGTCCCTGCACTTGCCTAAGCTTGCCTAAGCAGGCATTTTAGTCTGTGGAGCTATCTTGCCGGCCCTGATAATAGTTTTTGCTAAGTCAAGGAAATGAAAAGGCGACTGTATGTAAAGACTGAGATATATTAATAAGAAGGTATCATAAAGAGCCAACCGAGTAATTTCACAGAAGATAGGGGAGGAGAGGAAAGGAAGAACATCTTTTTAGAACTAAAGCAAATAGAAAGTACTAAAATAATTAGATTTTGTAAGTCTAACAAATGTAGTTTATTATTCTAAGATATATGCTAGTCACTTCAAAATTCTTTCTATAAAAGAAATATAACACCCTAGCCATTAAGAGCTATCAAGTCAACTATAAGTCAGTTAAAAAAAGTTAAATTTTTGATGTCATTTCAATGAACTAATAGAAAACTTTGTGTGTATAAAATTAGGTTCCTACTATAATATTTTCTGTTGTTACAGAATTGTTGGTTTCATTTTCTGAATATGGAAGAGAGTACTATATAATTAGCCTTCATAATACATTTAATGTATTTATTATAGAGTCTCACAAAATATATTGGGTATCAATGAAGAAGAAAGAGCCTCAAAAGTGTTACCTCAACGCCTGTATCTCCGGGAGGTCCAGCATCACCCTGAAGTCCTCGTGGCCCCTATATTAAAATAAAGTTTAAGATGTAAGAATCAAAGCTTAGTTTATGACAATATATAAATGAATACATTTATGAAATAATATAAAACATATAAAATAATATATGATTAAGTTACCAGTGTATTACTATATTCTCCATATAAACTAAATTATATCTTTGGACGATTCATCTCTATTGTTTTGTGATGGACATTAAACTATGTTTGGATTTAAAAAAAAAAAAAAAAGAAGAGAGGGCAGGCCAAATAGCTCAGCAGATTAAAGTGCCTGCAAGCAGGCACAGGGGCTGGGGTTTGATCCCCAGACCTGCCATGCTGGCCCCTCCCCCAGAGCATGCTGAGAAACAATTGAGACTGGGCATGGTGGTGCGTGCCTGTAATCCCCGCTCTTGGGAGGATGTAAACAGGCAGATCACTATGATTCAGATCTAGTAGTGAGATCCTGAACACCCTGTAGACCCTTCCCTAAAATATTAAAAAAAAAAGAAGAGCAACAAAAGTAATACTATTCATTCTTTTACTTTGTAATTCATTTGTTCATTCAACAAACATTTACTAAGCAGCTAATAAGGATCAAATAATGTGCTAAGGGATTTCATAGGAAATAATACTTAAACATCTGCTTAATATTCCTAACAAACTGATAAATATAGTAGCATTTTAAAGAGACATATGTATGTTCTTTTTACTGTCTATGTGTTTTTGCCTTTGCCAGAATGTCATACAATTGGAATCACACAGTATAGCCTTTGAAATTGGCTACTTACCAGTATGCATTTAAGATTCCTCTAAGAACTTTTGTGGCTTGATGCCCCATTGTTTTTATTGTTGACTACCATTCCACTGTGTGGGCATGCCACAGTTTTTTATTCTGCAGAAGACATTGTCTTAGTTGACGTAGGCTGCTATAGCCAAACACTAGAGTGTTGGCTTATAAACCACAGAAATGTGTTTCTTGTAGTTCTGGGCACTGGAAAAGTGCAAGATCAGTGTGCTAGCAGATTCGTTCTGGTGAGACTGCTTTTTGGCTTATAGATGGCACATGTGTTCTCACATGATAGAAGAAGAGAGTTGATTCTCTGGAGCTTGTTTTTATTTTGATGAATATTGTTTCCAGTCTTGAAAGATGAAAGACCTCATGACCTTATGATCTCTCTAATCACTTCTCAAGCTTCCACTCCTACTACCACCACCTTAACAGTTAGAATTTCAGTATGAATTTTAGAGAGACACAATCAGACCCTTGCACACATATTGGTTGCTTCTAATTTTGAGCAGCTATGACGAAAGGTGTTTGCTCTCAGCACTTATGTGCAGGCCTTTGTGTGGACATGAGTTATCCACTCATTTGAGTAACAGTGAAGGAGTCTGATTACCAGATCATATGGCTACTTTGTAAGAAACTGCCACTCTGCAACAGAGGTGCACCATTTTGTATTCCTACCAGCAATCTGTGAGTGTTCTGTTGCTTTACATCTTCACCAGCACTGGGCATAGTCAGGGCTTTGGATTCTAACCATTCTAACAAGTGTTGTTCTGACAGTGTCATGTCAGTTTTTTAAAAACTTTCAATTCTCTAATAACATGATTTTGAGCCTATTTTCATAGTTTCTATGTCACTTTCATTTTTTTCTTCTACTGTGTTATTAGTTTAGATCCTTTGCCTATTTAATTTTTTTGTAAAAACTGTTGACTTTTGATGATGTTTCTATATTTTGGCATAAGTCTTTCATCTAACATTGGTTGTGCAAATATTTCCTTTAATCAATTTTTTGTCTTTTTAATCTATTAATTCTTTTTTGGAGAATACAGAATTTTTTTATATTTCATTTTTTATTTTTTAAAAATAATTTTATTGAGAAACAAATAGCAATGAGACAGTTTCAAAACTGATTACTAGCACAGTTTCAATAATTAATATAGTACATATTGTTGTCTTAGTGGTTATTCATTGTTCAAGATGCAGACCTGATATCCTGTCCACAAACACTATTAGAACAAATCTCTCTGAGAATACAGAATTTAATGTTAGTGAAATCTATGTATTAATTTTTTATGCATTATGGTTTTGGCAATATATCTAAAATTTCAAGCCATAAAAGAATATTGTTAGGTTATATGAAAATGATATCATTTCATATAAAAGACTTGAGCACCCACGGATTTAATGTATGAGAGGGAGTGGTTCTAGATCCAATTCCTCACGGATACTGAAAGAAGACTGTGCTTTATGTTATTTATCTTACTTTTTAATTATTCATATATTCTTTTGGGTAATTTAATTGATTTCTATCACTGTATTGAAAACTCCATGCTTACCACTATATACTAAGTACAGATGCCTAACAAATACTTGTTGAATGAATGAATGAATGAATGAATGAATGGTCAACCATTCAAACTGAAATACTGACATTGTATTGGGGAAACTACTTTTATATTTTTTCACAGAAAAGCTACAATAGTGTCTTATTTTATTATTGTCAAAATATAAATGTTTTGATATTTCCTTTTACCAATTTTGCTTCTTTTCTATGATTACACTAGGCAGCTCAAATATCTGACACAGAGCCCACTGTATCTATTATAAATTAATTTATTTTTCATTTACCAATCCCACTGACCCTATGACCTGCACATTAGGTTTTCATTAGCAAGTCTTTTCTTGTGAAAATAACAAGACAATGTCCGTACTATGTCATAACTCTACTGACATACTTTACGTAAATGTCTTCTTTGTTAAGACTGATTGGTTTTCATTCCTTTTGCCTCATGTAATAATGTCACATACTGGCTGAGTGGTGATGGTTTTTGGTACATGTTCTTCTGTCAGTCTAGTCTTTAACACAATTGAGAAGATTTAATATGCCAAATATTACACCAGCAGAGGAGATGACAAAGACAAAAGAAATGGCCTCTCATTTTGAGAAGCTTATAGATTTTTTAGGGAAACATATTGAATTAAACTATGGTTAAAAAAAAAAGATCTGCCTTGTTTTATGGTCAGACAAATATTACAGTTGAAATAACAGGTTGAAATATACAAAATAAGGAGGAAAACCACGAAGGATTTAGTTGTCTAAAATCAATGCCATAGGTTAGGTATTTTATTTGGAAAGAAAAAAATTATTATATTACTTATTGTTTGGAGAGTTTATAGGGCAAGTACATAAAGGAGAAAATGAACACAGTTTGGTAAGAAAATTATTTGACTGTGAGAATTTTCCACTTTCTAGTGTCTAAATGAATTATCCAAATCTTACCTGTAAACTTGTGACTCAACTCATGATAAAATCAACCAAGTGATTTGAAAGACTGTATTGTAAATCTTAGAAGCGCATTACAGCATCTTGTATCTAATACAATTAACCAGAAGAATGACTTCATTTGTAATAAAGAATAAATTGCAAGAAAGTAGGCTGTGACTACATCTTTCCTTTCCACAACTCATTTTCCATGGAAACGCTGTTATTGAGTCACAGTTATAAAACTGCAATATAAGTTTTGTATTGTTGGCACGATAGCACTTATGTCACATTCGTACGTTTTGGCCAATCAATGTGGAGTTTGTTTTCTTTACATGTTTTTTTTTTTTATTACAGAATTGGCCTCATCAATGTGACTGTGTATGTGACAATGCAATACTTATAAGACTAGCAAGGCATTCAGAAAGTTTCTGAGATTCAATAGAACAGTTTTCTTTGTAGAATTTAGAAATATGTTCAGTTGTAAGTTTGAGAGAAAAAGTATCAAGTTTGGCCACATGAAACTTGAAAGGCATTTAAAACTATATTCTAACATATTCACTTTATATAGTGCTTGGTGATACAGCAAAATATTTATTCTACCTAATTAGTCTATGGTCTATAATAAAAGTGATAGGTTACAGCCCAAGTACTGACTGCTACATTATCATGACCCTGACCCAACATGGCTGAATCCACAACACAACAGCTCATCTCCCCAGTGACCACTTCCTCTTCTTCCCCACTCCAGCTCTGGATACAGCTTCCTTTTACCTTTCCCGCCCCCACATGGGAGCCTCCAATCAGCCCGTTGTGTGTCGCTGAACCTGCCCCTCAAACTCTACTACTAGCAAAAGCCTATAAAGTCTTAGGTTCCCGTTTTCAGGTCAGAGATTTTGCTCATCTCCCTGTCCTTGATCCTGTCTATGTCTTCAGAGTTAATAAAGGCTCCCCCCACCCCATCATTTCTGACTTCTCTGCTGTGCCCCATCATTTCTACTTCTCTGCTGTGCTGTCATCACTGCTGTCACTAAAACCTGTCAAAAGGCTGTTTTCTGAAGTATACCAGCCATAGTACAGTAGGGCAGTAATGATGAAAAGGTAGATGTACATTATGAAAAAAAGCACAATTAGAAAAATAAACATACCGGTTCTCCTGCAGGTCCCCTGTCTCCTGTACTGCCAGGAGGTCCCTGTAAACCCTGGACAAATAAGTGAAAAAGTTGTAGAAAATATAGTATTTGAAAATGTTTCAGTTTCTTTACCTTAGCTTTTATTATGGATTCTTTTACGTCTTCTGTCCATTTTTTTCTTTTATAGCAAAATACATATAACACAAAGGTGACTATTTCAACCATTTTTGAACATAAAGATTTATGATCTTAAGCACATTCACCTTGTTGAGCAACCACCACTGACTTTCACCTCCAGAGCTTTTCCATGTTCTCTTAGTGAAACAATACATCCATTAAATACCAACCCTGCGTCATCACTTTCCCAACCCTGTTAGCCACCTTCTACTTTTCAAGCAAAATGGGTCTGATTGCTCTAGATCAGTGATGGCAAACCATTTAGAGATGGAGTGCCAAAAGTGTAACTCCAAACCCACCTACTTGTCACAAAGTGCCCACACTGTGGTGTCACCTGACATTCTGTTGCTGGTGCAATGTTGTGACTTCCCTTCTGGGCTGACAGAGAGCTTTGTACACCTGCTGCAGCATACATGCCATAGGAATGATCTAGAATTCAGTTTAAAGTTTTACTTATCATTTTATTATATATTTCATATCCAAAGACTCACTTTTATGGTCAATAAGATGTTTAAGAAAACAAGAGCTGGAGATGCAGCTCAGTGGTAAGAATTTGCCTGGAGAGTGCAAGGACCTGGGTTTGACACCTGCCACAGCACAGCAAAGAGGAACACAGCATGTGTGCCATATTTGAGCTAAGTGAAATTATCTAGTATCTGTCCTTTCGTGTCTGGTTTATTCACCTTAGTGTGTTGTATCCAAGGTTTGTCCTTGTAGTTTGTGTCAAAACTCCCTTCTTTTTAAAAGCTAAATGATTTTCCATTTTATGTACATTTGGTTTATTCACCTGTCAATAGACACTGAGGTTACTTTTAACTTTTGGCTGCTGTAAGTAATGTGTTGGAAACATGGGTGGACAAGCAGCTGTTGGATTTGTTCGAATACTTAAAATACTGCCTCTATTTGCAGAATGCCTCTTCTGTATTATTGAATATGGAAAGAATGATAACATAGCTAATCATAATTGCTATGATAGCTAAAAGCTAAATTTTAAGCAAAATGGCATTAAGCCAGGAGTAAAGATATTCAGAATTCCAAATGTTAATGAGAATGCAGAGAAAAGATGTCTTATCTTCTTTTGAGTATTACTCTAGAAGTAGACTTTATGGATGATATGGTAAGTTATTTCAGTTATTTTGCGAAAAGGACAAACCAATTGTAATTCTACTATTTTACACTCTCACTAGCAACACACAAGCCTTCCAGCTTTCCACAGCCTTGCCAAGTTTCTGAGTCTTTTTATATAAATGTATATATTAGCATTTCATTGTGGCCTTGGCTTACTAAGCATTCCTGAAATGGAGCATCTGTTCGTGTGCCTATTGGCCATTTATATATCTTCTTTGGTGAAACATCTATTTAAATTTTTTGCTCATGCTTTTACTGTGTTGCTGATGGTTTGGATTTTAATGTCCCCCAAAGACAGCATGTGTAATGACTGGTTACTGGCCTGAGGCACTGATTCGGGTTGTGGAATCTCCAGAATGTGGGCCTAGTGGAAAAAAATTATGTATGTCTGGGGATGCGTCTTCCAGGGTTTACTAGAACACAGGTGCCATTTCTCTTTCCTTTTTGGATTTCTTTTCTCTCTCTGCTTCTTGAGTTCCATGTTTTAGGCAGCTTGGCTCTACCATGCACTTCTCATTGTTGCAGGCAGCTGAGTTAGAAATGTTATAGGCAGTCAGACAGGGCCAGGCCCTTAAAGGAGATAACACAGAAGACAAGATATCTTGCAACTATTAACCACTAGGAAGAATGTATGCAATGTGTTAATTATTGAAACTGTCCTACCAATTTGATTTGAAACTGTCTCATTGCTATTTGTTTCTCAATAAAATTATGAAAAAAAAGTCATAACCCCTTAATGAAAAAAAAAAAAAAAAAAAAGATACCTTGCAACTGTGAGAGGGATGAATGCTCCCACCTGGGCCAGGGATAAAGACCAAAGATTAAACAAATGCTGACCTCTCTAAAGATTGGTATCTGGGATTGATCGTTAACCCTGAGGAAGCCAGAAAATCATTAATCCGACTACTACTGGATGGTTACCTCATAAAGTCCTGTTCTACATTCATGCCCGCTTGCTACATGACTCCCTTCCCCATTTGGTCCTGGACTTAATCAATTTTACCTGAGCAATGGTGCTTGTAATCCCATAGTGTTGTCCCACCACATATCCACCTAAGTGAGTTCCCATGTTCTCCACCACCTCAGACCCACTTCACCACATGGTTTTACTCTATAAAAGTCCCTGGAAGAGACAACTTCCCAGTGACTACCTGCTTGGGCCTACCTCCTGTCCTTCTCTTGGGCAGGAGCTTTCTTTCCCTCAATAAATGTATTCTGCTCATAACCTCCATTTGTTCCTAAAATTCATTTTTCGGTTTTAGAGAACATGAACTCATGCAGGTCAGGTTAGGAGATCATTTTTCCTATGCCATTTGGAGGTTCCCTGTATCATTTGGAGGTCACCCACCTGAGATCAGTGTTTCTCCCTGTAACATCATCAAGATGTTCGGCTACACTATAGGCCCCCAAACAAGGAAGCCAACTCTAAAACCACAGTGAAAATAAATCTCTATTCTCTTGAATTGGTTTCCTTGAGTATTCTGTCACAGAGAAGCTAGTTAATATAGGTTTTTTTTTTCTTATTTTTGTGTGCGTTGGTTACTGTAGTATTTCTTTATGTCTATTTTTAGAATTATACCTCACTCTATATTGGGACAAATAATTGTCCAGAATTACTTTACATTGGGATTTCCTTATACTTTTAATATTGACACAAAATTGTTTTACCAAAAATAATATTTTTGTCCTATGTTAATAAGTACATAAAATGTGGCAAGACATAGGAGTCTCGGAACCTCTAGATGGCTGGAAATGACCACACCGGACCTTTAAGTTCCTCTTTGCTTTGCTGTGGCAGGTGTCAAACCCAGGTCCTTGCACACTCTAGGCAAGTTCCTACCACTGAGCTGTATCTCCAGCTCTTTTTTTCTTCAACATCATATTAACTATAAAAGTGAGTCTTTGGATATGAAATATGTAGTAAAATGATAGGTAAAACTTTAAACTGAATTCTAGATCATCCCTTGGTTCTTTTATTCAAGCATTTACTCAGCATGTACTGAGTGCCAGATTTGGATAACTATTGAGAATACTTAATATACTGCTTCTATTTGCAGAATGCCTCTTCTGTGTTATTCCACATGGAAAGGACAATAACAGCTAATCATAACTGCCATGATAGCTGAAAGCTAAATTTTAGGCAAAGACATTAAGCCAGGAGTAAAGATATTCAGAATTCCAAATGTTGATGAGAATGCAGAGAAAAGACAAGTCTTATGTACTGTTGGTGCGAATGTATATTAGTACAACCATTATTGAAAGCAGTCTCATGGTTCATAAAACCAACAACAACAATAACAACAACAACAACAACAACAACAACAACAGGATAAAAGTACATATGATCTAGCAATCCCACCACTAGGTACATATCCAAAAAGAAATGAAACTACTGTATTAAAGATATGTACTCCTGCATTTCCTGCAGCAGTATTCACAATAGTGAGGTTGTAGAATTCACCTACCTATTTGTCTTCAGGTGACTGACAAAGAGTGACATAAATACACTATGCAATACTACACAACTATGGTAAGAAGCATTTATTACAACATACATGGAACTGGTCACTATGTTCAAGAAAACAAATCAGATACAGAAAGTCAAATGCCACATATATTCACTTATATGTGGAAGCACAGAAGTAAAGAGTAGAAAATAGTTACCAAAGACTTAAAAGTGGCAGAAGGGGAGATGAAGACAGGGTGGTAATACAGGAGAGATTGAATAGAATGAAAAACTTCTAATGCTCTCTGGAAGAGTAAGGTAAGCATGTTAGATAACATTTAATGGTATATTATAAATTATTAGTAGTGATGATTTTGAATATGCCCAACACAAAAAATGATAAATGTTTGAAATGATGAATATACTAACTACCCTGATTTGACTATTATATGTCGTATATGTGTATTGAAAAATCATACTGCACCCTCATGGTTTCACTCTGGAATGTCTCTATTTGCCAAGCCTCATACATTCAGAGGTAGTGTTATAGGCAGCTAAATTAGATAAAAATATTATAGGCCATCTGACAGAGATAGGCCCTCAAGGAGACAATATGGGAGACAAGGTGACTTTGAAATTTGAAAGAGAGAGACACTCCTGCTTTGGACCAGACCTTAAGACAAAAGAGTAAACAAATGCAGCCACATACTTCCCTAGGAATGGGCACCAGGGATTGATATTCTAAATGGGTATCAATCACCTTGATAGAGCCCTAAAGAGTCACTAACCCAACCCCCAACAAGAAGTGACCCTGTCTTGTATTCATGTCTACTTGCTACATGATTCACTTCCTCATTTGGTACTGGATTTATCAGTTTTACCTGAGCAATGGTGCTTGTAATCTCATTGATTGACCATAGCTTTGTCTCACCTTATGCCCACCTAAGCGAGTTCCCATGTTCTCCACCATCTTAGATCTGCTTCACCGCATGGCTTTACCTTATAAAATTCCCTGGAAGAGACAGCTTCCTGGGGACAAAACTCTTTGGCTCCTCTTCTGTTCCTCCTTTGGACAGAAGCATTCTTTCCCCCAATAAATATATTCTACTCTTAACCTCCATTTGTTCCTAAAATTCATCCTTGGGTTTTAGAGAACCCAAACTCGTTCCAGGTACCTTTCAGGTAGGGAGTTTCACTTCCCCTATATCAGTAGGACTTTGGAAAGTGATTGGATCATGGAGGATACAGCTGATTTGCTGTTAGGATGTAGGGCCTGTTTGGAGGTGGGTTCTGGCAGATGACCGCAACCTGAGGAGAG